CGACTGTCTTAATAGCAGGGATGAATCACCAAGTAGATGCAGTAAGTATGTGATAGGTTATCTGACTGTTTCCATGACAGTGATGTATCACCAAGTAGATGCAGTAAGCATGTGATTGGTTACTTGACTGTCTTCATGGTATATTCAAAAGTGCCTTGAATAGTGTTTTATGTATTATGGTAAATCCTTTCATCATCTATGTTATTTCAGCTGAGCCACGATTTGAGTGTGATTTTGACAGGATGATACCTATACATTTTGTTTGTGATGGTTATCCACAATGTCCCGATGGTTCTGATGAGCTGAATTGTGAAGATTTTGATTGTAAGTGTATATTTATTGCATTAGTACTGAGAACACCTATCATTGGTATATTAACAATTGCTTATACAGTAAATGCAAATTAATTTGTTTTTGTTTTTTGCATTGAATTTAGTTGTTTGTACCAATGGGAATATCGTTAAACAGGTCTCTGTATGCAATGGCTATGACAACTGTGCAGATGGTAGTGACGAATCTGGTTGCGGTAAGCTCTTTCTATTCAATGATCCTTATTGGAGTCTTATAACATTACATATGGGACTTTTTGTATGTGAAATTCCATATTTGTTCTTCTTTGGTTGAACTCCCATAGATTGCGATTCTTAACAAAAAGGATCATTCTGAGCAGCGATGTCAGACTGAAATTAGCTTCGGATATATTTTACAGTTACAATCTGCGCTCTTAGAAAACAACACTTGAATCAAGCCACATGGTCACTCGGAGCGACCATATCACCTTGGGTCATAAATACACATTGTCGTTGATTCTTGCGTCTTTGGTAGAACCTGTTCGATGAGTTATTCACATTCACATCTTACAGTCTGAACGTGATCATCAGCGAAAGTCAAACGTGTTTGATGCAAGTCCACTTGGATTATTTATCACAAGGACTTCCCAGCAAGATAATGTATTTGTTGGCATGACCATCTTGTCGACCAGACGTGTATTTGGTAGGCTGAAAATAAAATTTTCTCAATGACACACAATATTAATGTTGTCAACAGAACCTCAAGCTGAGTGTAATGAATCCACAATTTAAGTGTACCGACGGTAGTTGTTATGAAGAATGGAATCACTGTGATGGATATAACGACTGTGGTGATTGGTCTGATGAAGACGGTTGTGGTAAATATTTGTTGTTCATTATATAAAGATAGTTGACTCTATATGATTACTGGTGTAACGTGTTAAGATATTCCAACAATTCCCCCTGGGTATGGTTAGTTTGTAAGAACGTTTGCCAATAATTTGGACACACCTTGGTCGATCACATCCTACCTTTGCACGTACCTTTACATACACACATTCGTTTATTGCAGGATTCGATGCAAGATAGGCGAATGGTTCCATTCGCTTGCTAAAAATCATCAAGCAATTATAAAGCGGATGTCGGTCGGTGCAATCAATTAAATATTGTGCCGTAACCTCTACAGATATCAATACGCTTATACATGAAACAACTTTTCTGGAAACATATCTAATAAAAGAACACGAGGATGTCACGAAATCACAAAATATATACACAAGTAAACTGAATCGGTGGTTTATTATATACGAAGTGTTACGAACATAATTTAAATGTTATTGTATGACGAGGAATTATCTTTAATTCACCGAAAAAATTAAAATAACTAATTATTACGCTATACGACAATTATATGTTGACGTCTTTTACATAATGGTAAAAGCAAATAGTTTTCGCATGCATCGCTTTCGAATTAAAACATCCGAGAGTCGCAATGTTCAACATTTCAACTCCTTGCCGATTTCAATTGACATCCTGATTTATTGCAACTGTATGTTATGCGTGTATGTTATGGTATATTGAACCCTCAGAATGACGTTTTCAGATGATTAAAATACTGGTATCATATTATAATGTTTATATCGAATATTATATCAATTATGTATATTTTTCCAGGGCACGTGCAAGTCAGTGTTACAAGTTGTATTATTGAGCTTTCAAGTCCCTTTAGGCTTGAAAATACTATTGCTATTATTGGCACGTGGTCGGCCGCCATCTTGCATCTCATTAAATATACTTGTCGCTTGTATCTCAAACACTATTGCATGTACAGACATGGGACTAACGCTATATTGAAGGCAATGGACCAGAGATTTGGCCAACATATTTGTTGACCATATAATTGTCATAGCACTCATTAAATATGCATATCTATAATATCTCAGGCGCTATTGCATGTACAGACATGGTACCAATGCTATATTGAAACCACTTGACAAGAAGAATGGCTAACGTTTCAATGACCATATAAGGTCATAGACCTCATTAAATATGCATGTCTCTTCTGTCTCAAACACTATGACATGTACTACTCTATATTGACGTAATGGACAAGAACTATTGCGCATACAAAAAGGGACCATTTGTGACATTGACAAGAGACATTGCTGTCATGTTCAGTGATCATATATGGTCAAAGAATTCATTAAATATGCATATCCATAATATCTCGAGCGCTATTGAAAATAGAGACATCATACGCTATATTGAAAACATTGGACAAGACCATCGCATGTGCTACTTACATGTATAAAGCTTGCACAAATCAAATCATCCAAACAGGG